GAGTTGGTTCGGGCGCCAAAAACCGAACGCCGAAAACCGAATGCCGAAAGCCGAACGCCGACTTAGTTGGTTTTGGTTCTGAGCAAGAACCAGGGATTTTTAACAATAAAAGAAGTCATCAAAAATGTTTGTTTTGATGCACAAAAAATGTTTTATGGTTTGTAAAAATTGTTTTGACTTTTTGAGAACCGAGACTTGAATAAATTGTCGGTTTTGATCACAAAAGACCGACTCGACTAAGTCTTCAATTCTTGATCTTGTCCTTGAGTCTTTTAGGTCTTGTTCCAAGCCATTCTTCACGCCTTGAGTTATTCAACGAAACTCTTCATATCCACGGCGGTTTGGCAATTATCAAAACCTGTCAGAAATGAACACGACTTTAGTTTAACGTACAAAGTGTGTTCCAACAAACGAGATAGTAGTGTAGCTCGAGAGAGTCTCTCGGGAGGCTGAACTAGCCACAAGTTGTGGTGAACCAGGGTAAAATTGGTGTGCCTCGTTCTTTTCTCTTTACTTCTCGCTTATTCATTTTTATTCCTGCGATTTCTTGATCAAACGCTATTCACCCCCCCCCCTCTAGCGTTGGTCTATTATTCTAACAATTGGTATCGGAGCCTAACTCGCGTCCAAACTTAACCGTTTGAGAGTAAAGCGATCATGGGCTCTTCTTCTAGAAATCTCTATGCAGGAATTGGAGAAGGTCAATCAACCTCTAGGCCACCACTCTTTGATGGCACCAACTACTCTTATTGGAGGGAACGGATGATTATCTATATTCGTTCCACCAACTTCCAATTGTGGTTGGTGATCAAAAATGGCGAAGAAATCCCTATGAAGAAAGTGGGAGAAACCACGGTCCCAAATACCGAAAACGAATTTGATGCCGAGGACATCAAGAAGATCGAAAACTATGCAAAGGCCATCAATATGCTATATTGCGCGGTCAACCCCGATGACTACCGAAAGATCTCCTGTTGCACAACCGCCAAGAAGATGTGGGACAAGCTTGAAGTGACGTACGAAGGTACCGATCAAGTTCGCGAAGCCAAGATCGACTTCCTCACCCAAGAGTACGAAATGTTCCGGATGAAAGAAGGTGAGAAAATTGATGACATGTTCGACCGGTTCTCAAAGATCATCAACGATCTTCATGCTCTCAAAAAGACCTACACCAACAAGGATCTTGTGAG